TACTATAATTTTTTTCTTATGAAATGATAAAGCAACCCTTTTCTCTATGTATGAGGTCAATTTTTTTTATTGGAGTTAAAATTAACGTAGATATATGACCGAACCTGACCGAACCTAACCAACCCTACCTAACCTAACCTAACCTATATTTATAGGTAAGGTTAGGTTAGGTAGCCAAAAAAAGCTAGGTTAGGTTAGGTTAGGTAGGTTAGGTAGACGAAAAAACATTAATTCATGAAAACTTGGCTTATTTGGCAAATCGGGCCTTGAATAGTAGGCTGAGAAGTGCGTTCTGGCTATTAGGTACGACATATATATATATATATATATATATATATATATATATATATATATATATATATATATATATATGTCGTACCTAGTAGCCAGAACTCACTTCTCAGCCTACTATTCAAGGCCCGATTTGCCTAATAAGCCAAGTTTTCCTGAATTAATATATTTACTATAATTTTTTTCTTATGAAATGATAAAGCAACCCTTTTCTCTATGTATGAGGTCAATTTTTTTTTATTGGATTTAAAATTAACGTAGATATATGACCGAACCTAACCAACCCTACCTAACCTAACCTAACCTATATTTATAGGTAAGGTTAGGTTAGGTAGCCAAAAAAAGCTAGGTTAGGTTAGGTTAGGTAGGTTAGGTAGACGAAAAAACATTAATTCATGAAAACTTGGCTTATTAGGCAAATCGGGCCTTGAATAGTAGGCTGAGAAGTGCGTTCTGGCTATTAGGTACGACATATATATATATATATATATATATATATATATATATATATATATATATATATACATATGTCGTACCTAGTAGCCAGAACGCACTTCTCTGCCTACTATGCAAGGCCCGATTTGCCTAATAAGCCAAGTTTTCATGAATTAATTGCTTTTCGACTACCTAACCTACCTAACCTAACCTAACCTAACTTTTTCGGTTACCTAACCGAACCTAACCTATAAAGATAGGTTAGGTTAGGTTAGGTAGGGTTGGTTAGGTTCGGTCATATATCTACGTTAATTTTAACTCCAATAAAAAAAATTGACCTCTTACATAATGAAATGGGTAGCTTTATCATTTCATAAGAAAAAAATTAGAGAAAATATATTAATTCATGAAAACTTGGCTTATTAGGCAAATCGGGCCTTGCATTGTAGGCTGAAAAGTGAGTTCTGGCTACTAGGTACGACACATATATATATATATATGTCGTACCTAGTAGCCAGAACGCACTTCTCAGCCTACTATGCAAGGCCCGATTTGCCTAATAAGCCAAGTTTTCATGAATTAATTGTTTTTCGACTACCTAACCTACCTAACCTAACCTAACCTAACTTTTTCGGCTACCTAACCTAACCTAACCTTTAAAGATAGGTTAGGTTAGGTTGGGTAGAGTTGGTTAGGTTCGGTCATATATCTATGTTAATTCTAACTCCAATAAAAAAAAATTGACCTCATACATAATGAAATGGGTAGCTTTATCATTTCATAAGAAAAAAATTATAGAAAATATATTAATTCAGGAAAACTTGGCTTATTAGGCAAATTTGGCCTTGCATAGTAGGCTGAGAAGTGCGTTCTGGCTACTAGGTACGACATATATATATATATATATATATATGTCGTACCTAGTAGCCAGAACGCACTTCTCGGCCTACTATGCAAGGCCCGATTTGCCTAATAAACCAAGTTTTCCTGAATTAATATATTTTCTCTAATTTTTTTCTTATGAAATGATAAAGCTACCTATTTCATTATGTATGAGGTAAATTTTTTTTTATTGGAGTTAAAATTAACGTAGATATATGACCGAACCTAACCAACCCTACCTAACCTAACCTAACCTATCTTTATAGGTTGGGTTGGGTTAGGTGGCCGAAAAAGTTAGGTTAGGTTAGGTTAGGTAGGTTAGGTAGTCGAAAAACAATTAATTCATGAAAACTTGGCTTATTAGGCAAATCGGGCCTTGCATAGTAGGCTGGGAAGTGTGTTCTGGCTACTAGGTACGACATATATATATATATATATATATATATATATATATATATATATATATATATATATATATATATATATATATATATATATATATGTATAATTACTGCTGACACATGTAGCCTACAGCTATCAAACGTTATTGGGAACACTAAGGAGAATCTCACACTCCTTAAATCACATGGGTGAGAGATTTATCAATCACGCATGCCGATAAACACTCTCGAGAGTTACGTTACTTGATAGAGCGATGACGGTCTCTCCAGACAGCCTCGTCACTCACCAAATTCTACCAAAATTACGTTAATACATATATATATAAATATAAATCACACTTGTCACGGCCCTGGGAACAATACAAGAAATTAAGACCACACTGTGGTACACTCCACAATAATCATTGCCAGGAATCACTGGTGTTACACATACCTGAGCGCTCAGTGTTGGAATTCCACACCTGCAAGACCACACATGGAAATGATATCGCTCCGTCCCACGGACGATCAAAAATGATTAAACCACAATAGAATACTATAATTATTACATGGACATCCTCTCAGTCCTTGGCTAATCTATGTATACTCTGTTCCCGTGTGTATCCACACACACACACTGTACGTCTGTACACACCTGACTTAAGTCCCTCTGGACTGACAAGATGAAACAAAGGTGAGTATCTCCTCGCCCACACTCCACTCCACCTGAACAGGTGCTGCGTGACAATGTGACGGAACACTTGACCTCGAATTCAAGCTTTAGAGACTACTAATCACCAGAAATGCACACATAGGTACTTACTCATTCACACTGCCGGCTACACACCATTCTCATACATCAGGCACCCCGCTGTAGGTGGCTGGCTCGCACAGGGTGGCGTAGGCGGCGGTAATACCTTACGTGGTATTCATTCGAAAAATTGGCGCACACTCGAACCCCGTTCGTACCCAGGTGACGCGCACAACGATAGCGTCTCACACAAACATGGGAAATCTGCCTTAACCCTGACACGAATTTCCCCGTTCCCATCGACTGCTACAGAGCACTAGCAAGTCTAATCAACACTGGTATGGGATCTACGAGTCCGTTACTGCTCGTATGCACATTCCCCACGATCCCAGATCACTGTACCTCATCCCACTGTACACAATGTCTTAAACCCCTCCAAGCGACGACTTCGGCCGGATTCTGTGACGACCGCTGTCGTTGGTGAAGCAGGAAGCATCAGCAGTTGAGTAGTCCAGCCACCACGGCGCCCTATACTTCAATTTGGCCGAATTAAGTACAGGAAGCGTCTTGACAAGGTGGCAGCTGGGTTCAGAATGATGCTCACACCGACGACTCCCGCGTCCTTCTCGAAATATTCAATGAGAGGAAGGCATACAGCGGCCTACCCCTCTCATCCAATCAGCGACGGTGTAGCATAGCCCCTAGGGCAACTCCAAGATGGCCGACCAACATGGCGGCTCAAGATGTTTACTAAGATGGCGGCTGTTTCCATGACAACGACTCAAGTGGCCAGCGAGCGCGGGAGGCCCACAGCTCACCCACGCTTGCGGCCTAGCTGTTCCCGCGCAAAGTTGTCTGGCTCCATGCCATACAATGAGATGATGCTATCAGCTCTAGCACTGTCCACAGTCATGCCACCCCGGCCAGGGTAACATTTGTGGACTGCTGATGACTGGGGCTCTCACATGAGCCCAAACACTAGATGTTTCGGTTGCTGGTTACCAAACTTAAGTCCGCCCACTTAACAAGTGCACTTTACAAGTGTACTGGCTCCCACAGGCATACGAGCACTATTGTAAGTGAGCTGGTGAACCATCTCCTCACACCACTACCCTCCTCCTCTTCTGCACCACTACCCTCCTCCTCGTCTGCACCACTACCTCCTCCTCTGCACCACTACTCTCCTCCTCCTCTGCACCACTACCCTCCTCCTCCTCTGCTCCACTACCCTCCACCTCCTGTGCACTACTACCCTCCTCCTCCTCTGCACCACTACCCTCCTCCTCCTTTGCACCACTACCTTCCTCCTCTGTACGACTACTCTCCTCCACTTCTGCACCACTACCCGCCTCCTCCTCCACACCACTACCCTCCTCCTCCTCTGCACCACAACCCTCCTCCTCCTTTGCACCACTACCCTCCTCCTCTGCACCACTACCCTTCTCCTCTGCACCACTACCCTCCTCCTCCTCTGCACAACTACCCTCCTCCTCTGCACCACTACCCGCCTCCTCCTCCACACCACTACCCTCCTCCTCCTCTGCACCACTACCCTCCTCCTCCTCTGCACCACTACCGTCCTCCTCTGCACCACTACCCTTCTCCTCTGCACCACTACCCTCCTCCTCCTCCGCACCACTACCCTCCTCCTTTGCACCACTACCCTCCTCCTCCTCTTCATCACTACCCTCCTTCTCCTCCTCTGCATCACTACCCTCCTCCTCTGCACCACTACCCTCCTCCTCCCCCTCTGCACCACTATCCTCCTCCTCTGCACCACTACCCTCCTCCTCCTCTGCACCACTACCCTCCTCCTTCTCTGCACCACTACCCTCCTTCTCTGCACCACTACCCTCCTCCTCCTCTGCACCACTTTCCTCCTCCTCTGCACCACTACCCTCCTCCTCCTCTGCATCACTTCCCGCCTCCTCCTCTGCACCACTACCCGCCTCCTCCTCCTCCTCCTCTGCACTACTACCCTCCTCCTCCTCTGCACCACTTCCCTCCTCCTCTGCACCACTACTCTCCTCCTCTGCAGCACTACCCTCCTCCTCCTCCATAAGAGATGGGTGTTAGGAGTTACCAGTAATCTGCAGGCGTCTGTGGGGAGAGTAGCCAGGTGTGGGCTTCAATGTTCCCTCTCATCTACAGGTGTGGGTGGGGAGAGTAGCCAGGTGTGGGCTTCAATGTTCCCTCTCATCTACAGGCGTGGGTGGGGAGAGTAGCCAGGTGTGGGCTTCAGTGTTCCCTCTCATCTACAGGTGTGGGAGGGGAGAGACTGCTGCGAGAACTTCACCGGAGGGGCGTCACTGGTCGCTTCCTTGCGATTGGGATCCGGGACAGTGAGGAGAACAAGAAGTACCTCCAAGAGCTCAGTGCGTCGCTGAACAATTTTAATAATGTTGATATATGGTAGATTGTTGAGACCAGCCTCACGAGACCAATAATGTACAAGGACACATCTACGAGGAGCTGGTTGTTGAGACCAGCCTCACGAGACCAATAATGTACAAGGACACATCTACGAGGAGCTGGTTGTTGAGACCAGCCTCACGAGACCAATAATGTACAAGGACACATCTACGAGGAGCTGGTTGTTGAGACCTGCCTCACGAGACCAATAATGTACAAGGACACATCTACGAGGAGCTGGTTGTTGAGACCTGCCTCACGAGACCAATAATGTACAAGGACACATCTACGAGGAGCTGGTTGTTGAGACCAGCCTCACGAGACCAATAATGTACAAGGACACATCTACGAGAAGCTGGTTGTTGAGACCAGCCTCACGAGACCAATGTAGATGTACATTACATCTCAATGATTATGATGTACATCTCTCAATGAGATGGGTACATCTCATCAAGTATTAAATGTTCATGTGTAGATGTACAGTAATCTACAGATGTATATGTGTAGATGTACAGTAATCTACAGATGTTCATGTGTAGATGTACAGTAATCTACAGATGTATATGTGTAGATATACAGTACAGATGTACATGTGTAGATGTACAGTAATCTACAGATGTATATGTGTAGATGTACAGGAATCGACAGATGTACATGTGTAGATGTACAGTAATCTACAGATGTACATGTGTAGATGTACAGTAATCTACAGATGTATATGTGTAGATGTACAGTACAGATGTACATGTGTAGATGTACAGTAATCTTCAGATGTACAGTAATCTACAGATGTACAGTAATCTACAGATGTATATGTGTAGATGTACAGTAATCTACAGATGTACATGTGTAGATGTAAAGTAATCTGCAGATGTATATGTGTAGATGTACAGTACAGATGTACATGTGTATATGTACAGTAATCTATAGATGTTCATGTGTAGATATAAAGTAAATTTCAGATGTACATGTGTAGATGTACAGTAATCTACAGATGTGCATTTGTAGATGTACAGTAAATTACAGATGTACATGTGTAGATGTACAGTAATCTACAGATGTACATGTGTAGATGTACAGTAATCTACAGATGTACATGTGTAGATGTACAGTAATCTACAGATGTACAGTAATCTACTGATGTAGAGGCACAGTAATCTACAGATGTACATGTGTAGATGTACAGTAATCTACAGATGTACATGTGTAGATGTACAGTAATCTACAGATGTACATGTGTAGATGTACAGTAATCTACAGATGTACATGTGTAGATGTACAGTAATCTACAGATGTACATGTGTAGATGTACAGTAATCTACAGATGTACATAACATTGAGACCAATGTCCTCCTACACACGAGGACCTCGCTGGAACTCTTACCACTGACGGGTTTATCAAAGTTTTATCACAAGTTGGGTTTAGTAAGACATACAACAAGACCATGTGTATGTTTGTGCTTTGTATAAGTTTTTGTGTGTTGGTTGTATGATAAATATATCCAAAGGTTACTTGATCAACCAGGCTGTGACTTTAGGCTGTGAGCAGACGTGTCTAACAGCCTGGATGACCAGAGCAGCAAGCCATAGCGGCTTGGTCGGTGACCAGACCAGGAGACATGGTCGGTGACCAGACCAGCAGCCAGGAGACATGGTCGGTGACCAGACCAGCAGCCAGGAGACATGGTCGGTGACCAGACCAGCAGCCAGGAGACATGGTCGGTGACCAGACCAGCAGCCAGGAGACATGGTCGGTGACCAGACCAGCAGCCAGGAGACATGGTTGGTGACCAGACCAGCAGCCAGGAGACATGGTCGGTGACCAGACCAGCAGCCAGGAGACATGGTCGGTGACAAGACCAGCAGCCAGGAGACATGGTCGGTGACCAGACCAGCAGCCAGGAGACATGGTCGGTGACCAGACCAGCAGCTAGGAGACATGGTCGGTGACCAGACCAGCAGCCAGGAGACATGGTCGGTGACAAGACCAGCAGCTAGGAGACATGGTCGGTGACCAGACCAACAGCCAGGAGACATGGTCGGTGACCAGACCAGCAGCCAGGAGACATGGTCGGTGACCAGACCAGCAGCTAGGAGACATGGTCGGTGACCAGACCAGCAGCCAGGAGACATGGTCGGTGACAAGACCAGCAGCCAGGAGACATGGTCGGAGACCAGACCAGCAGCCAGGAGACATGGTCGGTGACCAGACCAGCAGCCAGGAGACATGGTCGGAGACCAGACCAGCAGCCAGGAGACATGGTCGGTGACCAGACCAGCAGCCAGGAGACATGGTCGGAGACCAGACCAGCAGCCAGGAGACATGGTCGGTGACCAGACCAGCAGCCAGGAGACATGGTCGGGGACCAGACCAGCAGCCAGGAGACATGGTCGGTGACCAGACCAGCAGCCAGGAGACATGGTCGGTGACCAGACCAGCAGCCAGGAGACATGGTCGGTGACCAGACCAGCAGCCAGGAGACATGGTCGGAGACCAGACCAGCAGCCAGGAGACATGGTCAGTGACCAGACCAGCAGCCAGGAGACATGGTCGGAGACCAGGGGTCATGGTCCCCAGAACGACCAACTGGTAGACTACAAGTGGGTGGTATGAATGTGTATGATGGTGGATTAAAGGATCTCTTGTGTCGGCGATGAGTCACAATAACGTGGCTAAAGTATGTTGACCAGACCATTCTCAAGTCGATTGTGACAATCGACTTGAGAATGGTCCAGGACGGACCGAAACGTCGTCGTCCCTTCACCTTCTAGTGTGTGGTCTGGTCAACAAATTTCTTGTGTTCATTGTAAGAATGAGTTTTTATGCTGTAGTATTAATGAGCTTTGGTACGCAAGTGGTATGGATGGGTTTTGTTATATTAATGATATAAATAATTTGTTTATACTGGATATATGAACAGATATGGTATGCTGATGGCATGAATATGTTGTAATATGCTGGAGGTATGAATGAGTTTTAGTATGCTGGAGATACCTTCCTTGAGGTTGTTTCGGGGCTTAGCGTCCCCGCGGCCCGGCCTCTTCATTGCTGGACTGGTCAACCAGGCTACTGGACGCAGCTGCTCGCAGCCTGACATATGAATCACAGCCTCGTTGATCAGGTATCCTCTGGATACCTGATCATCCAGGTATCTCGAGTGTTCATGAGTGTTCTGTCATGAACACTGTGAGAGGTTGGCCAGTTATGCCCCTTATGTGTACTGAAATAGTATAAATATAGTGGAAGGGATAGATAAGCTGCCTTCCAGTCTGTAGTGGAAGGTATAGATAAGCAGCCTTCCAGTCTGTAGTGGAAGGTATAGATAAGCAGCCTTCCAGTCTGTAGTGGAAGATATAGATAAGCTGCCTTCCAGTCTGTAGTGGAAGGTATAAATTAGCATTTATTTGCTGATTTTATGAATAAGTTTTGGTATGAACTTGATATATTAGCATTTTCTACACTTTATTATCAATATGACTTTATTTACTATTGTTTATTGGATCACTATTATTAGTCTTGCCTCTTTATTTGTTAAGGGATCTTAGTTATTGTAACATTTTATTAAGGATTTTAGGCATTGAGAATTTTTGTCTGACTTTTAGGCTGCCTTAACCTTATTATCCTCAAGATTAAACAGGAGCATATATACATCTTTGATATTTTAAGTTGCTTAATGTACAACTAAATACAGTAAGTTGCCTATTGCAATTTACCATAATGCATTAAGCAGCTTACTGTATATATGTTTGTTAGTATTATTAGTATTCTTTTGTAAATTTGCTCTAATACAGTAGCTAGCTTTTGGGCACTTACTTTATTACAGTAATTAACGTACTGTACAAGATATTTCATACAGTATGCAGCTTACTGTTCAAGTAGTTTAATACAGCAAGTGTCCTTCTGCACACTTAAATGTACAATTACTTTAGTAAAGAAACTGCAATATGTACACCTCCTTTGATACAGTAAGTAGTACTGTACTATATTTTTTATAGTACAGTACAGCAAGTATTAAAGTAAATACATGCATTATCTGAAATAAAGCAACATATAAGTTTAAACAACATAAACACTTTTATTTTCACTCATTCTCTGAGGCCTGTCGTTTGCAGGTATTAACTTGTTAGTGGTATATGATATGACTTTTTCAACAGAAACAGAGTAAGACAAATCCGAGTGGTAAACGTTGCCAATGGTCCTCAGGACTCTGGCCTGAGACCTGTCTTGTTTACCGTATATATAAACCATGCAGATACAACACTCAAGTGCAACATTACCATAGTTGTCAATGGTCCTCACGACTCTGGCCTGAGACCTGTCTTGTTTGCCGTATATATAAACCATGCAGATACAACACTCAAGTGCAACATTACCATAGTTGTCAATGGTCCTCAGGACTCTGGCCTGAGACCTGTCTTGTTTACCGCATATATAAACCATGCAGATACAACACTCAAGTGCAACATTACCATAGTTGTTAATGGTCCTCAGGACTCTGGCCTGAGACCTGTCTTGTTTACCGCATATATAAACCATGTAGATACAACACTCAAGTGCAACATTACCATAGTTGTCAATGGTCCTCAGGACTCTGGCCTGAGACCTGTCTTGTTTACCGTATATATAAACCATGTAGATACAACACTCAAGTGCAACATTACCATAGTTGTCAATGGTCCTCAGGACTCTGGCCTGAGACCTGTCTTGTTTACCGTATATATAAACCATGTAGATACAACACTCAAGTGCAACATTACCATAGTTGTCAATGGTCCTCAGGACTCTGGCCTGAGACCTGTCTTGTTTACCGTATATATAAACCATGTTGATACAACACTCAAGTGCAACATTACCTAGTTTCCGATGATACAAAAATGTTGATAGAAATAAATTAAGAAAAACTTAAAATCGTTGCAAGATAACTTAGGCTTTTAAAATTTAACAAAAGATTTGCATATGATGATCAATACTGTCTATGCAAAGTTTAATATTACTTTGACTTTTCTTTAAGTGACTGGAGAGGAAAGTCATATTTAAAAAAAAAATCATTGAAGATGACCTAACTAGTTACATCTGAGACAGACAGACAGACAGACAGACACACACACACACACACACACACACACACACT